TAAATCCTCCCGCTCAGAGAGCTCCAGCTCTAGGTGAGGAGGGGACAGTCGTGGTGTAGGAGGGGGAGTGTGGAGGGGTAAGTGTTTAACAGACTGCCCAAATGTACCTCTGCTTCATGGAATCAAGGAATGATTGGTTCAGGTGTTTGCTGCTGCTTTGTGGGATGCTGCTGTGATTTGGTGGCCAGCAGTTGGGGTTTGTTTCTTGGCCAGCTCCTGCCAGCAGGGTGATGCTCCTCCTGGGAGGAGGTCTGGAGAGCCCGGGGCTGCTTGAGAGCCCAGGGGGGAAGAGGATGGTGGGGAGACACGGTGGGGCTGGAGTCATGGTGGCAGAGTTTCTCCATGGTGGCAGACCCTGTTTTCCATGTCTGCAGGCACCTGGGAGCTGTGTCTCAGCCAGGGTAGAGACCAGTGTCCCTTACGTGGTCCCATCTGATGCAGTGGTGTTTATCCCAGACCTGTCCCTTGCCCTTCCCCAGCCATGGTGTGCTCCTGGAGGCCCTCACTGGGCAGTGCCACCTCCCTGCCCCGGCTGCTGGGGCTGCTCTGGTCTCTGCCCAGCACACACGGGCTCTCCTGAACATCACTCTTGGGCTGCTGCCGCTCTCGGGAGGAGCCAGGAGAGGTTTGTCTCTGCAGGTGAAACCCAACCCCTGGGAATTTCCCTCTTTGAAGTGCTTTTTCCTGGTTTTTGTTTCTTTGTGACTTGAAGATTTTTATGCTTACTTAGGACTCTTGCCTGCCCCTGTAAGAGTCTCCAGGGCTGAGGTGGGTGTGCAGGAAGCTGCCTTTCATCAGGGAGGCTCCCCGAGCTCCTGGAGGTGTTGGGTGTCCTCGGCTCCCACTGAGCTCAGCCCCCAGGAATGCACAGCGGGCCCTGCCTTCCAGAGCTTGGATCCTGGAGAAGCGGAGTCCTAGGAACTCGGTGTGTATGTGTAGCTCTGTCTGTGCACCCTCATAACTTGTGAATCCAGTTCACCCAAGAGTAAAAGCATCCAGATATTTAAATAGCCCGTGACTTTGAAAACAGGAGGCAAACGAAGGAAACCCCATCAGCCCCTGCAGGAAAGGAGACAATGCGATGTGACTTCAGACCTATTCCCACTCTCATTAGATGCTCACAACTTCCCACAGGAGAGAGATGTTAAATGTGCTCCAAACAAAAGAGGATGTTTGCATCTTAACAGACATCAGAGAATCCAACCATGAGCTAAGCCCACAGGAGATCGGGGTTTCTTTACCTGCTAAATGCACAGATCTACTAGCTGTTACCATGCTATCAAGGGCTTCATTTCTGCTGTGACCCAGTCCCTGAGCCTGTACTGGGTGCATTGACAATGGATTCCAGGCCTCTTTGTAATCCTTTTTGGATGCAGATGAGCGATGTGCTCCTTAGCAGGCCCATGGACACCTTTGGGGTCACAGAGCAGCCCAGAGGAAGGTGGGAGCGCTGGGGCTGCACCCACCAACCCTCCACAGGAGCTGGGGGCTCCCTGGGCTGCAGGAGCTGGCAAAGTGCTCTGCCCTGGGGGAGGCCCCTGCTTTGGCTCCTTTGACTTCCAGCAGGATCTGTGTTTATCCCTGTATTTCCCAGCAGGAATGAAGCTGCCTGCCCAGTGCTCGAGGATTTTCAGGCCAGTCTCTGGCAGAGGATGAAGATGTCTGCGGATTTCAGCGGCACTCGGTGCGGGTCAGGCTGCGTGCCATCACCCAACGGGGATGAAGGTTAGTGCCTCCCACCCTGAGCACTTGTGTCCAAGGCTGAGCAAATCTTGCAGTGTTTTCCATGATTTTCAAGTTGAGTTGTTAGGGGAATTGATTTTGGTGCTGCTTGCACTGGTGCCACCCATTTCAGCTCGTGTGTGTTGCTTCTTGTGCCTATTTTCTGCTAATGATATTAAACAGATTCCCTGCTATGAATATCTGCAGAAACAGAGAATTCTGAGCAGACTGCTTGGAGCAGGAGGCTGGATGAGGTACTTCTTCAGGTCACTCCCACCCTGGATTATGTGCTGACCCTAAATCAAATAACCAACATTACACAGCTAGCACTGAGCACCACGCGACTGGTGTGCTCAGCCAGATCTGACTCTAACTTATATTTAGAAAATTCTTCAGACTTTTAAAATTGTTCCTTTAAAAAATGATGTGATGTTTAATGTCAGATAAAAGATTACAAATGATCTTCTTGACTTGCTGATCCGAACCTTTCTGCTGTTGCTCCCACACTGAAGTAAGTTTAATTCTTGTGCCCTCTACCTGAGCGTCTACCGTGCTCCTGTGCTTCCTTCATTGCTGACCTGCCCTCTCACCCGTGGCCTCTGGCCCTTCTTTGTGGCCCCTAATGCTGGTGCAGGCCCCTTTTCTGTGTGTTCTGCAGCAGTGGCCCACCGTGGGTCGCGGTGTGTGCTCAGTGTAACGCGGCAGTGGGCAGGACAGAGGTGTGAGGGCATCACTGCAGCTGGAACCGTGATGGGAAGAGCCTCACTGAGCATCGCTGCTGGCCCTGGGCGTTCATGGGGAGGGCTCTGGTGCTTGCTCTAAGGGAGCAAAACAACAAAACATTTTTCAGCAAAACTTGCAGGCGGAAACATGTCTTCAAAGCGTTACAGTCTGGTTCTCTCTCTGCCCTACTTTGTGCATACCCTGCTTTGTTGCAGTAGATCTGAACCAGCGTGTCCGGCTCCTCAGGGCAAGGGCTGCCTCTCTTTGTTCTGCGGAGCCTCCAGCACAGTCCGACCATCACTGCAGGCTCCCCAGCATGGGGAGGGGGTGAAGAGGCCTGTGCTCAAGAGACAGATGTCATTAAAATACAGTAGAAAAGAGTCTGAAGTAAAACGTATTGCAGTGATGGATCTAGATGGTGAAATTCACTGATTTCAGTGGTGTTTGCACAATGCTGGTTGCTGTGTTTTCAGTGCTGGCTGGGGGGAAGTGGTCCAGGCTGACATGGAGCAGCGGGGATGCTGCAGGGGCTGGGGGCTGGAGCAGTGAAACAGCCCGTCCATCCCTTGCCCAGCTCACTGTGGGCTGCTACCCCTGCCCGCTCACAAAATACCTCCTGGAAACTCCCTGTTTGTGGGAAAAGGTTGGCCTGAGTAATTCAGAACAGCCAAGAAATGCAGGAAGGCCATTCAGAAATCTTTTCTTTGCAAGATGTACCTGCACAGGGACATAAGAAGTGTGTACACATGCGAGGGAGGAGTCCCTCTGCCCAGGGAGCTGCGGCTGCAGGACCCTGTGCCTCTGCAGGAGCCCGAGTTCCACCCTCAGCCACGGGCTGTTGGCAGAAACAGCAAATGCAGCGTTGTGCTGCGGAGGATGGGATCGTTCCAGGGTGGAAATTAGAGGGCTGGGGTGGATTTGTTGTGCGGTGACAGCACCTGCAAGTAACTGTACGGACGGCAGTCGCTGTGCTGGTCTTGCACACGCAGATGGTGGTGGTGGAGACGGAACCCTCTTCTCTCACTGCTGCTTTGAACTTGGCTTCCTGGGCGATTGTTCCCTTAATCAAAAGAAAATGAACTCCAATTAAGGTATCTCATGAAGTATCATTTGTGTCAAATTAAGCCTGCTGGTGTAGCGTTGGAGAAGCAGCGATACCGCGGCCTGATTCACACAGGACTCACATGAGAAAGGGGTGGATCAAGCTTCTCGAGCAAAGGCAGTGAGAGCAGAGTTGGATTCATGCAAATCAGTTCTCGTATAATGCGAGATGCTGCTGTTGGAGATAGGACGGGAGACTGACATGAGCATTGTAATAGTGTTTGGGAAATGAGAAGGGTGTATCTGTGGCTGGATGCTTCCCCGGCGTGTTCGTTCATGTTCTCGTGGCAGAACAGGCATCTTTTATATGACGAGGCTTCCAGCAGCCCGAGGAACCTGCAGGAGCAATATCTGTCACGACAGAGACCACTGGCAGCACAGGAGGCTGTTGGGGTGGTTGGAAGGTCTGTGCTGTGTGTTGCTTGCATACAGCTGTCTAAACTGTTGGCCTAGTGTTTCATCAACAAACTCTTATAAACGTAATAAATCAATCTGGCCCCATCAAGGGCAGGTTGGAGGGGGCTTGGAGCAACCTGGTCTGGTGGGAGGTGTCCGGGCCCAAGGACAGGGCGTGGAACTGGATGGGCTTTGAGGTCCCCTCCCACCCAAACAATTCTAGGATTCTCTCTTTTCCAGGCAATCTGGGTCCCTGTTCCCTCCTGCTCTGCACCTCTGCAAGCGCCTGCTTTGCCCGTTGGAAAGGAAATGCCAGATGGGAAGAGCTGTTTCTGTGCTCCCTCAGCACACGAGGGACTGCAGACGAGCAGAGATCGAGCGCTGGTGGGTCTCGGGAGGTGACTGGCTTTTAAAAATGAAAAGCAAAGCCAGAGTGGTCAAAAGGCCCTGAAAGGCAGCAAGAATTACAAATAGGGATTGAAAGCTAAAGAGAGAGAAAATCTTAATTAGATCTCCACCAACCTGTAGAGGAACACATTTGGATTAAAATGAAATGGAGCTTTGTGCTCTCAGGGTTTCAGAGCAAGAATGGAAAGAGGAATTATTCACATTTGCTATTTGTGAAACTGGATTGCTTTTTCTGTGAACTTGTCTTTTTAACTTCTCACCTTGTCAGAAAATTGTGAAAAGCTGCTGGGATGGTGTATTTGGGGTAGTTCTTATCACGGCACACAGCAGAACCATTTCCATGGTTTCAGAACACGGGCAGAGTTTCCTATTTAATCCTGTCCTCCCCGAGTTAACTCCTTTCCTCTGGTGGTGAGCCAGCCCGACCACCGTTCACCAACCGGCCTTATATTTCACCACCATCGATATTTTCTCTTTGTGAATATCTATCAATATTTAATAGAGTGGTGTCACTTTTGCCGTAAGATGAGAGGAACTACTAGAAACCTTGAATTATACATTGTGTGGCCGGGGGAAGCTGGGGAGGGTTTTCTTTTGGTCCCAGAGCTCTTGGAGTTGATCTCCAGGACCTGCAGCTTGAAATCCTAATAATGGATGAGCACCAGAAGAAACTCAATCAGCGGCATGAGGGAAGGCCCCGCAAAGTGAGGTTCAAAATATCGTCATCTTACAGTGGTCGAGTGTTAAAACAAGTCTACGAGGATGGGCAGGAGCTGGAGCCCCCAGCCAAAGAGCACTCCCGGCGCTTCCTCCGCCACAGCTTCGAGCCGGGGAGCCCTTTCTGCGGGGCCGGGGAGATGCCCCAGAACAGGTTGTACCCACCAGCCAAGCTGACTGCCCAGCGCATCAGCATATTCAAAGAGGACAAGAAATATGGTCTCACCAGCAACTCTCCCCTCCTCGGGGACTGCCAGCCCAGCGACAGCCACTGCAGGGTAAGTCACAGTCAGCCTAGAACCAGCTCAGCCCGAGCCCTTCTTGGACTAATCTGGTAACAGACAAAGCTCACTTTTGTCAGTCCTGGGTTTAAAAAGGGTGATTGTAAATTTCCAGCCTTTATCCCCTAAATTCTGTGTCCTGCTCGCTCTGCCAATGGCTGGAGCCATGTGTTTTGTGGCAGCACAGGCACTAAGTGACTCCAGCTTCTCCCTGCGCTCATCTGCATCTGTCCTCTCTCCAGAATGAGATACAACATTTCCATATATATCAATATCTATATGTAGTAATCCTATAGCATCTAAAGCAGTCAAATATAAGGTGGATATTATCTTAATTAGTTATGTTTAAGACATTAAAGTTGCATGACTCCAGCTGGCAGAAAGGTTGGTGCCACTGAGCAGGGAGCCTCCAGCGAGGTGTCCGCGTCCTCTGGCAACTCAGAATCCCCCTTTGGCTACTTTTAAAATCCCAGCTTAGTTCCACTGGGTATTTTGTTAACGTATAATTATTGCCATTGATACAGAAGTGTCTCTTTAGTCCTAATAAAAAGCCAGTACGTGTGTAATGTATGTTAAATTGATTAATACACAGGGATTATCTTCATTTTCTTACCCTGTTGAATTATTTATATATCTTTCTGCTATTTGCCCAGAGATGGTTATTTTATCAAATCTAGATGTGCCAACTAAACAGTTTATGTGCCAACTAAAGAATTCATATACCAGCCCTGGCGTATGGGCACTGTTGATAACACAGCCCCGGCACACTGATACACACACTCTAAATGTAAATTAATATAGTAAAAGTATTAACTCTTGGTGCTAATCAAACTTGCATGTAAGAAACCGAGCTGCTGATACCTGACCTATATTTAGTTGGAGCACTGGACATCCAGTTTAACCCAAAATATCAAACCCCACGGAATGTCTCCTGCCTGAAGACAGCACTAATATGATCTTATCCATCCCATTAATTTGTCCTGCATTCCTGGGCAAGGCTCAGCTCCAGCCCCTGCCTTCCCTGACCATAAACACCCTGAGAAACCGCGTCAGCCCGGGCCAGCTCTGTTTGGTGTCAGCATGTGTTTGCTGTTGGGAGGCACCGTGTCTGTAATGCACCCCGGACTTTGGAAGCCTTCAGGGAAAAAGGGGCAAGGGTTTGTGCTCACCTCCTCCCCACTTCTCCCCCAGAGGAGCAGGAGACCACCAGCCACCCCTCCTCAGCTGCTGCCCCTCTGGCAGGGTGCTTTCTTGGGAGAACATCTCCTTTCGTGTCACTCCTGACACAGATACTCCAACAGAGTGAAATATGAAGAGCGTGTAAAGCAATAGGCCATGGTAACTGCCACCTGATCCCACGGCAAGGGGAAAGGAGCAGGAAAGCAAAACGCTGCTGCTGGAGAAATGCCTGACCAGACCACGTCTAGCTTTGAAATAATTTGAAAAGAATTCAGGCATGCCCAGAGATGGTTATTTAGACTGGCTCCTGGCTGTTAGAAACCTGATTTAGCATTAGAAAATGAGGGGTTTTTAATCATCTGACCTTTTTGCCAGTGTTGATAAATTACTAAAGAAAAGCTTTCTTCTAAATCTGAAAAAAATCCCACCAAAGCTGGTGGAATAGGTCACCACCATGGGAAGTTTCTACTTCTGGCCAAAAACATGAAAACCCCACCCTCCCCTCAACTGTTCAGCCTTCAAAGAACTGTAGGTCAGTCCCTGGGGCAGAGGCTGCTTTTCCATATGCACCAACCCCACTGCTCTCAGAAATGTGCCCGGGATCGCCAGTGTTTGTGGAGTGTATTTGTGCAGGTGAGACACTGATGAGATCCTTCTACAGGCTTCTCCAATTCTCGATTTTGGCAAGATCATCATCTACACTAACAATCTGAAAATCATCCGTGCGCCCATGGACCAGAAAGAGCTGATGAGAAGAGTCATCCAGACTGAGGGGATAAACGACTGGGCCTTCTTATACCGGGAAAGGAAAGAAAGGTTCGGTGGTGGACATAAAAAAGACATGGAAAAAAAGGTTGCCTGCAACCAGTATGTGCAGGTAAGAGATAATGGAAAGTGGCTTTTTTTTTCAGCCTAAGGCTTTTGGGTCTTACAGCCCTGGTCAGAGCACTGAGTGTTCTCACCCAAGCCCCAGTGTCTGCATCTGGCAGCTGACTAAATTTGGATTAAAAGCATCACTTTGTTCCTCTTTCCCCTCGGGAGGTAACCCATCAATGCTGCACTGCAGTCTGAGCTCTGGGGACAGCTCTTCTCTCTTCAGGTGCCCGTGTGTCCCACTGGGCTCTGCCCCTGGAGATGGCTGAGGTTTCTGCAGTTTGGCTCAGCTCCCTCCTTCGTCACCATCTCCCTGTGGGACGAGAGGAGGCCAGAGATTCTCCAGCCTGTGCAGCCAAAACACAGCTGCTCTGCGGTTGAGACTGCCCCAGGCTAAAATTTTAATATCAGCCGAAATAAGATTGTGCCCTCCACTCGTTTTCTCACGGGTTAGTCTTTGTTGGTCAGAATCCCAATTAGCCTGACCATAATCTGATCCCACAGAGCGTACTGTTGTTGTGGAGGGCAGAGACCAAGCGTTACAGCTTTGCAGGTCTGAGACCGACCTGTGCTGAGGGCAGGTTTCCTGGGTCCCTCTGCACCCCCAGCCTGGCCCATGGCTCACTTGGACACAGACCCCATGAAAATGGGAAACGGCCCTCAAAAACTAAGCAGGAATTTTGGCCTTGGTCAGTTTTGAAATAAACTCAATTTTCAGGAAGAGCTCCAACTCACTGTATCTCAATCACGACCTCCTTCTGTGGTGCCACGTAAAGCAGAGCCGCTGCCCAGGAAGGATGCAGGACTCTGAGCCTGACATCAAGAGGAGGGACCTATGCCCTGTCACATCCTTCCCAATGCAGATATTTAACCATTTCTGGTGTCTGGGGAAGCACTTAATTTTCAGCTGGGATTTGTGGGAGTCTGTCTGGTGCCCTGGGAGGGAGCTGCAGGCACGAGGGACAGCTTGAAGGGAGCTGTGCTTGTCGGTGATGGGGGACCTGGGGGGAGAGGGTGAGGAGAGATGCTTGGAGAAACAAAGCATGGCTCAAAACTGAGGGTGCAGGGCTGGGAAGATGGATGTGTTGAGAAATGACAAGCAGACAGGATGGGTGGAGCTGTGCAGACCCTCGCAGGAGGAGGAGAAAGATGAATTTGGAAGTCTTGTGTTACAATAGCCCAGTCACATTAACGTCTCATTTTCTGAAGCATCCACAAATTGTCCACAAACACATGGGAGCCTTTTTCTCAAAGATCTGGCTGTAGAGATAGGAGTATTATTGGCAGAGTGATGTGTCAGGAGCAACAATTACCTAAAAGACCAGAAGAGAGAATTTCCCTCTCTTAACCACGGTCCCGGTTGGGTGTCTGACACCCGGTAACAGGTTGTTCCCTGATCTCTCTTTCAGGAGGGAGATGCTGAACGTGGCTGTTCCCAGTGCAAAGGCTCAGGCTCCGCTCCTTGCTCGCTGTGCCACGGAAGCAAGTTTTCCATGCTGGCAAACAGATTCCGAGAGTCCTACCGGGCTCTCCGGTGCCCGGCTTGCAACGAGAGCGGCCTCCAGCCCTGCCGGATCTGCGCTGCCTGAGCCACGCAGCCTGCCAGCGCACACCAGTACGGGGCTCAAAACTTGGGATTATTTCACCTTGACGCAGCCTGGCTACAGTGACAAGCTTTTAAAAGATGGGACGGCACACTGTACATCTTGCACTGTAAATGTGAATATCGCATCCCTCCTGCCTGTGACACCCACCAGCCTGGCTCTGGAACCAGCCCTGACTCCCCTGGTGCTGGGGGAAATTATCAGCACTCGGGAGCTAAGCACCTCTAAGCACCTGTGTAAATGTCTCCAGCATCAGGAATTCGACCTGAACTCACCATCACTGTCCCTGCGTTCGGTGTTTGGGTCCTGACCCACCAGTTGCTCCAGTCACACCATTAAAGGTGGCAGCAGGAGGTGCCATTTGGGCACGTGGGTGACGCCGTGGGGTGTGGGGTCTGTCTGTCTGTCTGTCCGACAGCAGCAGAGCGGGGCCTCCCCGAGGCTCTCGCTTGCTGAGCGGTGTAAGGTGGCACTGACTGTCCTACCAACGCTGTGCTTGCCCCACGGTGTCACACGCCTTTCCTGAGGACCCTGCCGGTTCCTCCATCTGCCTTAGCGGTCACAGCGATGCCTTTGGGGTCTGATTTACGGGAAGAAATTGAAAAGTATTCCCAAACCTGGAGCTATAAAAATTGTACAATAATTTATTATTATAAATAGAAGTTATTAAGCTTTTAGCCTACTTAGGAGGAAGTGCTGAACTAAAATTCCCCTGTAGGATGCTCAGCACTTTTCGGGCTCAGGCTGGTGCTGAGCAGGACTTCTGTTGCTTAATATTAATCCCATGTTGTAATCTGCAGGAGGTAAACTCTAATTAGTTGAGGTGAGGCAATGATGCGGGATACTTTGCAGGCTGCCGCTGGTGGGACAGGGCACGGGGGCTTCAAGGGGCTGAGGCAAGCAGGGGAAATGGCATTTTTTTCCCCAAAAGCATTAGCTTATTACATTTTATATTCATGAACAATGTTAATGCAGCCTGAACTTGCATATTACTTCTGAGACCCTGACGAGTTAAGAGACTGCTCCCATGTGCTTCGTGCTGAGGTTGCAAGCCCAGGCAGGGCAATTTATGGCCAAGTTTCTGTTTTACTATGGCAGGTTATCAGATTTCTCTGCAACATTTAAATGATTAGAAATAATGCTGTTTTAGCTCCTAGACTGAAATTATCATATCAGCATCTGCAGAATGAAAAAATTTCATCCTTGGGGTTCTCCCTGACGCAGAGGAGACCTCACCAATCCAAAGTTGTTGGTCAGGCAGATCTCTTCCCGCAAATTGGACCTGTTGGATCTCATTGTTTGTTGGGTTTGTTTAAAAGTTTGCCAGCTTCAGACAAGAAAAAGAGCAACCAGGCGAAATTGTTGCCTGATAGTTTAATGTTTACAATAAAACGAGATGCAAATATGCATTTATAAAATCAGTATTTATTGTTCTTTGGTAATTACGGTGTTTCTCAACCACTATTTCTCCTCCCGGCTGTGTCAGCTATTCCCATTCATCCCGACAGGTCCCCGGGGCGTTGCTCGCAGTGAGGAGCTGAGCTCTTCCCTTAGGGAGCCCGGGGTCCGGGGCAGCGGTGGCCACAGGAGGGGACCCTGCGCAGTGAGGGCTGGGCTGAGCACCACACGGCCAGGGAGCGCTGGGTCGATTTGCTCCCCTGGCTTTAAGTGCACTCAGTTTATTTTTGGTTGTACTGGATTCCTGGGCTGCCTCCCCAGCAGCATGGCCAGCAGGGCAAGGGGGGGGATTCTGCAGGAGACCCCCCCAGTGCTGCCTCCAGCTCTGGGGCCACCATCATCAGAAGGACACGGAGCTGTTGGAGCGGGGCCAGAGGTGCTGGGGGGGCTGAGAGAGTTGGGGGGGTCTGCCTGGAGAAGAGAAGGCTCCAGGGAGACCTTGGAGCCCCTTCCAGTCCCTCAAGGGGCTCCAGGAAAGCTGGGGAGGGACTCTGGATCAGGGAGGGGAGCCCTAGGAGGAGGGGGAAGGGTTTGACACTGCAAGAGGGGAGATGGGGATGAAATGTGGGGAAGAACTTGTTTGGTGTGAGGGTGGTGAGAGCCTGGCCCAGGTTGCCCAGAGAAGCTGTGGCTGCCCCATCCCTGGAGGGGTTCAAGGGCAGGTTGGAGGGGGCTTGGAGCAACCTGGTGTGGTGGGAGGTGTCCCTGCCCAGGGCAGGGGGTGGCACTGGGTGGGCTTTGAGGTCCCTTCCAACCCAAACCATTCTACGATTTATCAAATAAATCCGGAAGGTTTCACCGTGGTGAGGCCACCTTTGAGGCAATGGGCTCTTTTAACACCTTGCTGTTTCTATTTCTCTGTCACCCCGAGGGTCCCCGCCGGGCTGGGCCTGGGTCGCCCGGCACGGGCCGCGGCTGAGGTGCGGCCTGGCCTCGGCGCTGCCCTCCCCGGCCCGTTACCGGCTCAGCGGGACACAGACCCGCCCGGGGCTGTGGCCGGGCCCGACCTGCCGTGAGGCACCAGGGCCGGGGCGCTCCTTCCTCCCCATCCCCGCCGGTGCCGCTCAACGGGACCCCGCAGCCCCTCGGCTCCCCCGCCCGGCGCCCAAGATGGTGGCGGGGCGGGGCGGGGCGGGCAGGAAGCGGGGCCGGTCCCGGGGCCGCAGCCCGCCATGGGGGTGACGGTGGAGGTGCACCGCGTGTACCGGTACCCCTTCGAGCAGGTGGTGGCCAGCTACCTCCGCAAGGTAACCGGGCGGCCGCCCCGGCCCGCCCCGCGCTGCCGGCCCGGCCCGGAGCGCCTGAGGCGGCGGCGGGGCCCGCGGGGTGTGCCCGCCCCGGAGCCGCGCTGCTCTGCCCGGACCGCGTTCCCTCTCTCTGCCGCCTCTCTCTGCTTGTGGAAAACCGCCCGTCTTTGTTTGCGGGAGGGAGCGCCGCTGTGCGGGACGGAGCTGGGGCCGGCAGCGGACACCGCCTGGCGGCCCCGTCCCCGCCGCCCTGCCCTCATGGCGGGCCTGCCTGCCGCCGCAGCTCGGGTCTCCTCCTTAGCGGAGCTTTTCTCGTGTTTAGATGAAAACTTGCGTTTCCGTGCCCGAGGCGGCGGTTGTGGAGGTGTCTCAAAGCAGACCGGTCTGCCGGCCGCTGCCCCGGGGGCTGGTGGCCCCAGACGGGACAGTGCCCGGCCGCGGTGGGGAGCGGGCGGCCGTGCTTCTGGGCCAGACACAGCCCGAGCGCTGCGTGTGGGGCCCGGCCCTGCCGGGGGAGGCAAACACCCACCGCATCCCACCCGGGGCCTCGGCGGGGCACGGCGGGGCTGCCCCGCGGCACCAGGGATGGCCCAGCTGGGATGGCGGCTCCGGCCCTTCAGGGGCTCCCCGCGGTGACCAGGTCTGTGTGAGGGAAAGACTGCATCCATAGAAATGAGTTCAGGTTTTCTGTCCCCGCAGAACGCCAGCCTCTGCCCCGCTGCGTGGTGCCGTACGGCTCTTGGCCCGGCAGGGCCACAATCATTAGACTTTAAAGTAGGTTTTAAAACGAAGCTGTTCTGCGGCGGCAGAAGGCTGTGTTAATGGCAGGTAAACAGCATTCCTGTGTTATATCTGCTCCCAGCAAAACAGCATCCTGAATTTTCCTTCTGAGCACTGTTTCTCAGACCCGAGCTCCAAGCTGTGCTTCAAAACTGTCCTTTATGTTGGTGTTTTCCTTTGAACAGCAGCACAGAAATAGGGATGAATTCTGATCTTTATGCCGGGTTTTGCCCTCTAGCTGGGACTGGTTTTTGCGAGCACCAAGGTGAGGAGCAGAGCGGGCTCCGTGGTGTTTGTTTTGGCCGCCTGTGTTTAAACATTAGTGACAGAGCGAGCAGCTGTGCAGTGCGGGGCATTTCCTTGGCACAAAACCCATGAGTTTGTGAGTGTTCTCAGCAGGACAAGATGTTTAAACAAATGTTGACTCTGGGCTAAATTCATCCTTGATGCAGCAACCAACTTAAAACACAAGGATTTTTTTTGCCTCAGCTCGATATGTGAATCTCTAAAAGATGCTCTGGTGTGCTTTTGTTTTAATGGACTGCCTGTGTTTTTTCTGGTGTTCGATGGCTCAGTACAAAATGGAATTGGATCCCTGTAGTGCTGTCACACCCTGTACTGAAAACCGAACCGTCACCTATGGCAAATTCTTTTACGAAGGAAAAATCCAAAGTATCCTCACAAGCCGAAGTGCCAGAACTTTGGACAGTAAATACAGGCAAAGATGCTTAGTCTGGAGCCTGTCTATTTCTCTTCTGCTTGTTAACCATCTACAGCTGTTCTTTTTTTTTCTTTTTTTGCCCTAGAATGGGACCCTGCAAAGACACATTTAAGGTTTTATTTTTAAAAAAGAAAGGTGAAAAAGCAATTACTTTTTTGTCTCGCCCCGCTGCAGAAATGGGGAGCTGTGCCTGGCAGCCCTGGGCAGTGCCACTCGCCGGCGTGTGGTGCAGGCTGCCACTCCATGGCTCACCCAGGGATGTGCTCCCAGCGCTCTGACAACACAGCAAGCCTGCAGAAGAGAAGGCAGCGCTGCCTTTTCCTGATTTTCTTGAGCGTTTGGCTATTAGCGGTGAGAGGAGAAGCAGAGTTGCTCGTGCTTTTCATTGTGAAATATGTAAAGCAGAGTAGAAATGCAAGGGAAACTGTATTTTCCATCGGACGTGCGAAGGGCAGCTGGAGGTGAATAGTGAGGCTAATGATGGCAGCCAGAAGCACAGAGCAGAAAGGTTAAAATAATCCTCATTTGTATGTGGCAGCAAAGTGCAGCACATGCTTTTAACCAGGAGTTTGATATGATTGAAAAAATAATTGCCATAGTTACTCCTAAATGCCATAGTTAAAGTTGACTTCGGGGCTCCTGCTCTTCCTGCTGCCCCTCTGTGAGTTGAGCCCTGGGATGTTGTTACGTGGCAGCGCAGGGTGGAAGATGCAACTGGCCGAGCTCTGGGAGGAGACTGACCCCGAAGCAGTCGGGGTTCGGGGGCAGGTTTGTGCCGAGACACCTCCTGCCTGACAGCACTCCCCCATGTTGTTCCCCCATGGGCTGCGGTTTATGGCCCTTCAGGACAGGACACAGGAGTCGCCCAGGCAGTGGAAGGTGTCGGTGGGGGCTGTTTTTTTGCCCCCCCTCCCTGATGCTGTGGAAGGGATGGGGTTTCCCTGGGGTGCTCGGGGTTAGTGCAGGTGTCGTTGCCAACCGAGCCCGAGAACTCTAAATCAGCCGTTTAGCTCAAGTGTGACAAATTGATTTGTATTTGAAGTAAGTGTATCTGTGTGTGAAAGGCTTTTGTATCTATCGATCTTTATCACAGCAAGTCATCTGTGCTGTGGCTTTGCCAGACTTTTTTATTTTTATTTTTTAAATTTACGTTTATCCACAACCACCCCTTTTCCAAGCCAATAACAAAGTGGAGGAACCAGGAAAGGTTTAGCTGGTTTTGCAGTGTCACTGCCTCGTTTCCTTGCTGTTAAAAAAGAAAGAATCAGAATATTTATGAATTTAAATATTATTATTTTTTGCAACTCTTTGAAACTGTCATTTTGATTTATGTGGGCTCCATTTGATCTTGCGTGTAAAACCAGCCCTTCATTGCTTTGAAATATTTCATTTTTATACAAATCATTATGTGTAACCTACAGTGATTTCTCTCTGCTGCTAAACACAGTGCTGCTTTGAGAGGACTGCTATTTCCCTCAAATAACTTCTAAGAAACATCACTGTGGTTAGAAACTGCTGCTTTTGATAAATGATCTTACACATTCCCGTTAGGAAAGGAATGTGGGGGTCTTAATTCCCTGGATTCGGAGTAACGACTAATACAGTCAATTCTGCTGGTTGTTATTTGTAGAAAACAATCGATACGTTTGCGGGAAGAGCAAGTGGGAGCACAGGAGTTCTGTATCTAATCTTAATTGTGGGGTTTTTGCACAGGGAGAGCGGAGAGGTCTGTTCTGGTAAGTGTGAGATGCGAGGTGACCCCGTCACCGCCCGGGTACCCCCGTGCTGGGCTGTGGGGGTCTCCCCGGTTCTCCCCGGCTGCTCCGCGCCCGCAGAGCGGCTCTGACGTCTGCAGGGAACCCTCAGGACGGGTGCGCAGGGTAGAAAAAACTTAATTTCAAAGCTGTGGGTAGCTTAAAGGCAAAGTCAGCTTTGTGGCTTCTGCTGTCGCCACTTGGCTTGGGGTCCTCTGAGTGTGATAGAGGAGAAATGTCTTTGAAGTAAGAAAATCAATCTGGAAAGAAATTTACTAGAGGAACTCACTAGAACTATTTAATTTTTTTCAGAAAAGTACGCAGACTTTGTCTGGATAACCCGTTCTTTTTGCCCGCCCCGCCTGTGCCCGCCCCGCGGCCGGCGCTGCGCATTCTCCGTCTGGGCCACAAGGTGGCGTTCCCTGCTCGCCAGGAGCCACCGGCGGGGCGGGAGCAGCCGCGGGTGCTTTGGGGGTGTCGCCCCTGCCCCGCCGCCCTGGGCTGAGCCCCCCTGTCCCGCCGCTCCTCGGCTCCCCGCCGGGGCCTGCCCCTCCGCTCCCGGCTGTGGCTTGTAGGCCGCGGGGATGGTGGCCGTGCGCTGGGCCCCGTGGCCGGAGCAGGTCTCCGCAGCCCCCCCCCCGCCTCGCACCCCGACCCTCCCTGCGGGCGCGGGGGTGCCCTTGGCCGCGGGGCCGGCCCCTGTGGCCTCGGTGAGAGGTGCCTGGTGGAAACCTCGACATTTGGGCACGACCACGGGTGAGCGGGCAGCCGTAGCCGCCTCTCTTCAGGCCATTCCAGATTTTGGGAGCCCTTGCTCTGCCCGGTGGCCCCACGGGAGGAGCTGGGGGTGAGGATGCTGGAGGCGGTGTCATGTGTGCCTTGTGGGGGGGTGGCACAGGGCAGGTTGTGCTGGCACCTTGGGCAAGGAGGCTGAAGCCCTGGGGCCAGTGGGAGCCCTTTGGGCAGGGCTGGCGCCGCTGTGCCCGGTGCTGGGTCAGGGCAGGGCTGACTCCTGTGCCCAGAGCTCCCTGCTCTCTCTGTGGAGCCCTGGCCTCCCTGGGGAGCGCGGCCCTGGCAGCCAGGATGTGCCTGGGTGGAAACCCTCTCTGTGCCTGTTCACCCTCCTCGCCATACTGCTGCTGTAGGCTTGTAACGTTAGTTCTTTTACTGCTCTGTATAGGAAATTGAGTCTATTTCTGTTTAAATACTGGGGTAATAGAGCCTGCTATTTAGTGAAAGATTTATGTAAATGGCTCTTTGTTTCACGCGATTGGGCCTTACGGAGTGTAAGTTACATCGATAATGTAATTATGGCACTGCTGCCATTGCACAGCAGCGTGTTGTGGAGAAGCCTCCAATTTCTGTATAGAATAGGACTTGAAAGCCTTGCGCTTTTAAAATCAACTTTTATTCTGCAGTAAGAAAAAATAGTGGAGCTGGATTATAGAACAGCCTGCTCTGGAGCTGTTGACCTTTTTAGCTTAGAACCCAAGATTTCTTGTATATCAGAATTGAGGAGCACCTATTACTGCACATCATAATTGCATTACCTACGTGCAATTAGCCTTAAAATGTGACTTCCCCACCTTTCCTAAAGCTTTGCCTTTTGTTTAATGTCAGGCTGGTGGTCAGTATCGCTTCAATCTGGCATTTGTATTAGCATGGAGGTTACAGTAACTCTTGAGTATTATCTGAGTTCAATAAATTACCTTGTGCTTTTACAATCTGCAGTTCATTATTCAGGTGGATGTTGGCTCCTGTTTGCAATGGAGAATGAAATCCTTGTAGCTGCTGTGTCTCATTCCTAGCCAGGGGAGTCCAAAACAGACTGTTCATCCTCATAAGTCCTGTTCTTGTGCATGCAGTTCTTCTATAGGGTGTTGCCCTCCAGGCAACCTGTGCAATTTGGGCAGAATTCTTTTTCAGTGGGGGTCTTGGCGCGAGAAGGTCTTTCTTGCAGCCTTGAAATGACTTGTCTGTCCTGTGGGAAACAAGGTCCCCTGAGCAGGGACAGGGGGTGACAGTCCCTTACCCTGCTGCTGGCTAGTCCTGAGCAGCTCCCCTTTTAGTGATTCTTCTCGTAGCAGGATTGTGGGGGTTCTCTTTGTTTTCTGACCTTACTAAGCTCATCTTACTAAATTCTTCCATTCTGCTGCCTTCCTTTCCGAGGCTGCAGATTGCTAACAGCGGGCAGCCCGTACCAGTTGGGAGAAGCTGTGAAATTGCTGCTGGCTGGACCTGCGACAGCTGGCGGTTTCCTTCTGCCCGGCTGAGAAGTGGTAACTTTATGTGTTTTTATCCCAGTATCCCAGTCCCATGGAGAAACACGTTACGGCCGTAGAAACAGTGGAAGAGAAAACAGGTAAGCTGCCTGACTTTTCTTACACAGCTAGTGAAAGTTTTTCACCTTTCTCCCTAATATGGGAACTGGGATCAAATACTCATTTGGGTTGAAATAAGAACTTACAGACTCTGAATTGTTAGTCTCAAATACTTTAATCCCTAAAGTTTCAGTCCCTAAATTCTATATTATACATTTAGAGCTGTCCTCTGTCTTGCCGCTCAGGTTTAATGGTGGCTCTTAATTGCAGGCTTGTGCTCTCTCTCTGCGCCCGTCGTTAGCGAGGCTGCCCTGAGATTGCAGGAGGCAGAGCATTAGTGCTGCCCTGGCTGTTTCCTTCTGAGGCAGTAAAGCGCTCCTTCCAGAGAATGCTTTTCTGTTCTCTATTGCTTGGAGATGCTTCATGTTATTGATGTGATGTGTTTGTTAGAGTCCTGAAAACCGAACCCCATGAAGTTTTCATTTCACGGATCCCACCAAATGCAACTGTTGGAGAAGGTGCTCTTTTATCCTGGAGAAGTCTTTAACCCGGGCTGCCTGCCAGCTGGCTGCTCCTGCGGTAGCGTTCTGTTCTCGAGCTGGGTCATTAAATATTAAAAGGCAAAGTGATTCTTAAAAGCCAACCCTTTTTTGAGATACTAAATAACTGTAATTTGTTTCCTAATGGATGGTTTTGTCCTTGTCACTGGGTCCAACTCAATACAAAAATAAACGTGTGATGAGACAGGGCCGTTCTGTAAATCTTGTACACAGGGTGTTTGCCCAGAGAGCGAGCCGGAGAATATAAATTGGGGTGGGGACAGAAATAATCTGTGTGCTGGTCTGGTGGCTCATTGTCCCAGCTTTTCCCTCGCCCCAGTCTTTGTCCACCCAGAAAATGCCAGTTAGATGTTTGTACCAGATGAGGGGTCTGGATGGCAGGGGCGGATGCAGATGCCCTCCTGAGCCAGAGGCCAGAGTGCCCGGGGCAGACTGAGGCACAGCCCTCTCTCGGGCAAAGCAGCAGAAGTACTGGTTTATACTTAAAAAAAAAATCCAAACAAAACCCAGCGCCCTCAGCACTCTGGTAATTTGCCAGCATTTCTGCTTGCACCTTTGCTGTGCTGTGAAGTCTTCCAAATACTTTGTTTATATTAAAAAAATGGTAATATTTGCTGCTCTAACTCTTCCCTTCTGATTTTCTTTTGTCATCAGATTCGTCTACAGGGATTATTTACCGGAGGAGAATTGCAACGTGCCAGAATGTAATTCCTGAGATTTTAAGAAAGGTAACTATGTTTTGAGAAATGTAGTCGACTTGTGAAACCTTAATGCTCCACTGTGATTTATCTTGTGTGAAAGGATCATGTTTCAGAATTATTGTGTTTTTTTTTTTTTTAATTATAAAAGTTACTTCTAAAGAGAAGTTAGGAGAAAAAAATTCTCTGGGAACTCATTTTATGTTTAACTTGAATGGACAAATTGTAGCCTTGAGCACACTGAGCCATAACTGGTGCTGGTGGTTGTTTTACACACAGTGATGGGCTTTCAACTTTTGTACCCGGAAAAAGTAAAGCTGGTTTAAAATGTTATCTGTGCCACACAGAAAGTACAGCCATTCCCCCACCCCAATAGACAGTCTTATTGCTGTCAGTGCTCCTGATTTTTGTGTGGTAGATGGTATTTCTATCAGAGGCCAGTCTTGTGGAACTCGGCAGGAAGGCGGCAGCCAGTAATAAACACTGGGGGATTCTCTCTAGCTGAGCTCCTGTGATTTGGGTGTCTGATCCATTGGTCCTGAACACACCAGGCTGTAATCGCTCACAAAACCATGCTGTAAGTGAATTCAGAGGGAATTAAAATGATACTTAATGGGCCTTTAGCATGTTGCAAATTAAATACAGCATTGTAGGGTCCCTATAAAGAAGGTAAAACATGATTCCTTAAAAGCTGTAGAAACGTGAGGACTGGGGTCTCTTGTGTCTCTTAGTGACAGTCCTTTCTTCACAGTTTGTTAGGGGAGAAGAATTAGCCTGAATTTATTATTTGGTTTTTTTCAGTGTCTTGCAGCAGATAGTCTGTACACAGAACAGCACATTTCCATTCATGCCTGGTTAAATATTTCACAGCCTGCGTGCTGAAAAGTCCGTGTGTGCTCTTCTCCCGGGGCTGAGCACTCTCTGTGGTTTTGCCTCGAAACACGTGTTTGTCTTTTCCAAGCCTCCCCTCCGAGGACAACACCCATTGCCCTGTGCAGGCAGAACATCAATAACCCGCGGGTGAGATGTCCATCCCTTCCCTGGCCCACACTTGCTGGATGAGGGTCACTCAGGGTGACCAGTGGGCTCTGGGAGGAGGTGGCCTCCCTGGAGGGAGGAGCAGGAGCAGGGTGTCAGCCTCCGTGCTGGGCAGCCGGGGCTGCAGAGGTGCCAGCCTTTCTCCTGCCCTGCTGGCTTGGCTGTCGGGTTTGGCTGCCTTGCATGTCACTGTTTGATGGCTTCTGTTACCCTTCACTGGCATAAATCAGCCATCAGGAGCAGGAGAGAGAGCAGGAAGTGATGCAGGTGAGTTGGCTGTGGTGGTCTTGGCAGCACGGCTGGGCACTGAGCATCTCCCTGAACCCTGGAGTGTTTGCACAGCCTTGAGGAGCTGTGGAGGAAGCTGTGTTCTCCTCAGGACTAACCACGGCTGGTGTGCCCCCCTCCTGGATCCTCAGCTTGTCCTCTGAGGCTGGCAGTGCTTTCAGAGTAACAAGAAGTGATTCTACCCTTTCTGGTTTTTTTTTAAAAAAAGCTATAATTCTTCTCTTTCCCAGGTCAGTGTCTTAAAAGTGCCTGACATCTACTTGGAAGAGGAATCTTGGCTTAATATGGAGAAAAGAAGCATGGCCATGAGAAGTCATTGTCTTACCTGGACACAGTATGCGTCCCTGAGCGAGGAGTCTGTCTTCAGAGAGAGCCTGGAGAACCCAAACTGGTGAGTGCTGGCCCCTGGGTGCCACCGTGGCCTGTGCCAGCTCAGGGCTGTCTCTGCAGCCCGCAGCCCTACCCTTTCTGGTTTTTTTTTAAAAAAAGCTATAATTCTTCTCTTTCCCAGGTCAGTGTCTTAAAAGTGCCTGACATCTACTTGGAAGAGGAATCTTGGCTTAATATGGAGAAAAGAAGCATGGCCATGAGAAGTCATTGTCTTACCTGGACACAGTATGCGTCCCTGAGCGAGGAGTCTGTCTTCAGAGAGAGCCTGGAGAACCCAAACTGGTGAGTGCTGGCCCCTGGGTGCCACCGTGGCCTGTGCCAGCTCAGGGTGGCCTCTTGCAGCCCACAGCCCCGAAGATGGCCTTTCTGTTGCCTTTTGAGTGCTTGGAATGGGAGAGGTCTGAATAACAATTCCTTTGGTGTGTCTCGAACTCATGTGAGGAGCAGCTGTAGATGTCCTGCTGCTTTCCCCTGGCTTGTTCAGACGCGAGGTTGGGTTCTCTGGCACAAATAATTGCTGGAAATTAATTTTCTGTGTGCTGCTTTGCAGCTGTAGAAGGCTGCCCCACCGTTCCTGCGCAGCAGGCACAGCCAGAGTGGTTGTTTCGCTCTGGCCTCTACCAGCAGATGCTTGGGCAGCAGCTTAAAAATTACCATCTCCCTCCTGCTGGCCAGCCATTGGTGTGGAGCATATGTGTTCCCAAAGAGTTTGCTGTCTCTGGTGTGTGCCCGCTGTGCCCAGAGATCGGAGCTGCTTTGGGACTTTGCTTGGGAGAACACACAGTTGGGTTGGTGCACAGTGGAGCCTAGAAATGTCTTTATGCACATTTACAGCACGATCAGAGGGGAATTTCTAATTCCCGTAGCACTGAAATGAGCAGGTATGGGATACATGTGACTGTCTTTAAAAAAAGATTTATTTCCAGCTGCTGTCAACCCCATTAATTCTTACTTTGTTCTGGTGTCTCTTGTAATTAGTTTTTACTTTTGCCTTGTGCTGTTCCCTGGGAAGCGTGGCAGGGTTGGCCACCAAGGTCCATGTGACTTCAGAAAGCTCTAAGGATGTTTTAAGAAAACCCACCAGCTCCAGACGAAATTAAATTCCTGTGGCTCAGGAGTTTTTGAATGCCCTGCACTGGGATGTTGCTGTTTGAGAACATGTTCCTCTGGATTTTTAAACTGTTTTGTTTGTAAAGTTTACTGGGACCCTCTGTCCTTATGAAGGCTGGTGGCCTGGCAGGTGTGGGGACGGTGGCCACAGGCCCATGGGGTGTGGATTAGTGTGAGAAACTGGACATGAGAACCGACAGTTAGTTTCCCCAGTTTGAGATTAAAAAAATATTGGATGTAACAGTTAACTGGAGAACTGCAGGTTGGGGAAGGGAGACTGCGACCTCCTGCTGTCCCTAACGGAACTGGGGCAATGGAGGTGACGCTTCCTTAGTCCCAGCCAGTCCATGTAACCACAGCGTCATTCTTAACATCAGGCGGTTATTTTGTCCTAAATAAATGTGAACGCAGCGATGCCAACTGCTGCATATTCCTGCAAAGTGAATTATTGTGGGTGCTTCCAAGCAGAGCATATAAATGTCTGAAAAGATCTAGTAGCAAACAAACATTACCATAAATAAATTATAAACCATTGAAAGAGGCATGATGAGGCATATCTGTATGTTTGGAGGCCAGTAAGTGCCTGTGTTATCCTCTTGGCTGAATTCCTTCATGACACTTTTTGCTTGCTTTCCATGATTTAATTGCTGTTATACACCAGCATATCTTGTCTAGATGTTTGAAGCCCACAGAAAGGCAATTTGTCCCCGTGGGCAAGGCCTGGCTGCAGCCTGGGTGGGTCTGGACCCGAGTGGCCTTTGCATCCCTCAGTTGGCATCAGGTGCCCTTCACTGCCCCACACTTCCCCTCCGTTCCTGACGCCCGAGAGAGCTGACGTCTCCGCAGCGGTGGGTGAGGTGTCTCCCTGACCTGGGGAGATATGGGTGGTGGATGAGCATCGTCAGCTGGAGGAGGGAATTAGAAAGGTCTCCTCTACAAAAGCTCCCTCTTATGCAGAGCTTTGCGCTGGATGTGGCTTTTAATTTTGTTTGGAAAGCCATGCAGGCATTGGAAACTGTCCCTGACACTGTCTGAACAAGAATATTGCTAGACTTTTTATACTAAAGACACTTTAATTAAGCTCCCATCATGAAAACAATTAGACCAAATTTGCTGTACTTAACTAGTCAATAATTTAGTAGTTGGATCTCATTAATAGACTTCTCCCTGTGACTGCTGTAATGATGCAGCATTGCTGGCTGTGTGCTACGGGAATCAATCAGGGATCAATATTTTCCTTGAGCCTCCCTTTCTCGTCTCCTGCAGTGGTGAAACTGCAACAGGAATCAATAAATCCCAGCTGGAGCAGCCAAGTTCCGTGGTGGGTCTTCGCTGCTGACCCCCATCCTGTGCTCGGGGGGAGCTTCTCCTGTTCTTCAGCTCCTTCTCTGGAGCTCCAGGTGTTTGTCACCTTCCCAAATGGCACAGACAGAAGGGATCAGTGGTCGTGGCCCGCCAGGGCAGTGGTGGGGCCGCGCTGGCAGGGGGGCTGTGGGACTGGGGGGTCCTCTCTTCACTGCACCCACTGCCTTTGTCCCACCGGGGTGATGTCCTGAGGGCTCTGTAACCCGTACAAACGTATTTCACTGTTCCTGCTGTTGGCTTTCCTGGTTCTGGAAACGGCTGGTGTGTCCCCTCCAGCACTTTCTCTGTGATGCTGCTCTTGGGGCTTCCCTGTGGGCTCGTGGCCCCCCCGGGTTAGAGTCCACTGGCCCTTTGGCACCGCTGGCCATGGAGACCCTCTCCTTGTGCTGAGGTTCCTGTGCCTCCATAGGTTTGCCTTTGAGATTGTCATACAGAGTGTGAGTGAGAGATGGGTCCCTTGGGTGTCACCCACTAGGTGTCTAATGTAGCCTTTACGCTCACCGTTACTGAGTCGATGGAGAAGTAAAAGGGTTTTATGTTCCTGTTTCTTAGGACAGACTTCACCCAAAAAGGCAGGATATCAGTTACGGGCGCAGGTTTGCTCAACTGTGTGTTGGAAGCTTTTGCTCAATCGTTTTTAAAACAAGGTGTGAAGAAGGTAAGTCATTTATTGCTTGAATTTCTTCCCTGAATTATGTTCCAATTTTTTTTCAAATCACCAGATCATCTGGGCTCAAAATTCAATTGATGTTTTAGGTCTGGATTCTTTACATCTTTTAATTGTTGAAAAGAATATTTGACCTTTTCTTTTGTCTACAGAGAATACGCAGAACAAAAATGGATTTAGTTTTATTATGGTAATAGTTTTATTTCAACTACATTTTGAAACACAATGTGTATGACTGTATCAGTTTCTGTAATTCATTCTTATTCCTGATTTCCCCCAGGCATTCAAACAGTTCTTCTTCCTAATGCCTCATTGTACCAGCTAATACTGTAATAATAATTTGCAGTTCTGTAGCACTTTGAGAGTGAAGTAGTCAAAAGCAGTCAACAGGAATTTATATCATGTCACACATTTTTCTCCAGTAATGTTAGATTTTTTTGGCAGTGTGATGTATTTACAGTAGCCCCGGTCAGTCTCCCGTAGCCCGCTGCGTGTGTCAGTAGCTCTGGCTTTCAGCAGGAGTTATGGAGGAGATGAAAGCTCTCCCGTGGAGCCTCCTGGGCAGCGGGGCTTCGAGGGCTGAACATTTGGGAGCTGTGGCCCATGGACACCCTGGATCTGGTGGCAGTGGGTCCCGCAGCCTTTGCTGGGACTGGACTTGGGGGAAATCCTGATCTCTGGGATTTTGTGCCCCGAGAAGATCTGGGGGCTCAGGGGGTGCTGTGCAGGCTGAGTAAAATACTGCTGGAAAGGAGTGAGAAGGAAGGAATATTCAATTAAACTTTTTCAATGAGAGAGTAAGAGGGCTTCTTTTTTCCTTTTTCTTTTCCTTTTTTTTTTTTTTCTTTTTACTTCTCCCCTCCACCCTCCAGTTTGTAGAGATGACAGTTATGAGCAATTTTAAGGCCATGCAATAAAGGAGCATTTATAGCAAGAAAGTGTTATGTTGGTAGATGTTTTATCTGTTGCCTCTTAAACATTGCAACATTTCTGTCATTTTCACTTCTTGGTTTCTTTTTTAGATTCCTTTTGCTTGACTTGAATGTATAAGGAGATGGAAATTAAAGGCCTCGATGTAGTGTTTGTTAAATGATGGAGCTGAACTCAAATAACAAATATTTAACTGCAAAATGTTTTGTCATGGTTACAGAAAGAATGAAAGGTATTAGGTACTCTTCTCAGAGACGGCATACGTTTTTCTACTAATCTGTGAAAGTGCTCCCCTGCTTTTGCACTGGTGATGGCAGTGAGGTGTGTGCCGTGATGTGCATCAGTCACAGAATGGCAGGGGTGGGAAGGGACCTTCAGAGACCCCTCTGTCCAACCCCCTGCCAGAGCAGGTTGCACAGGAACAGGTCCAGGGGGGTTTTGAATGTCTCCAGGGAGGGAGACCCCACACTCTCTCTGGGCAGCCCCTTCCAGGGCTCTGCCACCCTCACAGGAAAGTTTTTCTTCGTGTTGAGATGGAATTTCCCGTGTCCCAGTTTGTGCCCGTTGCCCCTTGTCCTGCCCCTGGGCACCACTCAGAAGAGCCCAACCCCATCCTCTTGCCACCCATCCTTTAGATATTGATGAGCATTGATGAGATCCCCTCAGCCTGCTCTTCTCCAGGCTATGGGTCACCTGTAGCTGTTCTGATCTGGGAGCGTGCTGGACGTTTAATGGGAGGCCATGCTGGATCTACATTTCCAGTGCATCACTGCACTCTGAGCTCCTTCAAGCCTCGTCTCCTGGGGCTGAGATTTAAGTGTTTGAACTTTAGTTGAAAGGAATATATTGATTAGGCTTTGATTTAGTCATTCCTTGCTGAAAAGATCCTGGGTAATGACTTGTACATGCCCTTTCGTATTTTATTCATTTAATGGAGTCCCCTCTCACTCCCTTCTTCCTCAACACCATTTTGCCTAAAAGTCTGTGTTGCTATGAGGAGAAATAAAAGAAAAAGCTGTTGTCACACTGTGAACATAATTGATTCAATAAGTAACATTTTGAAATTCCCTGGGTGAACCTCTGAGACTTCACTTGTGTCAATTAGTGCTTTATTCTGTAAACAGGGGCACGTCTAATTCTGACTGATGGACTCGGGTAGCCAGCGCCGGCTGCAAAGAACAGGCGTGGAAGATGGACTGGTTTTCATGGGTGTAAAATACCTTGTCTGAGTTCTTTGTAGTGATGTGAAAAGGAATTCTCTTGACCTATTTGTTAAAGTTAATTGTCTTTTCTTCCTCCTCTCACGGGGACTGAAAGGGAGAAATCCTTGTTCCCCCATCGTGACGCACAGCGTGGGAGGGTGACCCTCAGCCCGCAGGGGTCCGTCCCAGTCCCCTGGGGCCGGCTTGGCAGGTTGGCACAATGGCAGTGCACGGCCATGGAAAGTGAGCAGGAAGGGATGTTTTAGGTTTTCTTGTCTAAAGTGAGTGGATTTTGCCTTTCACCAAATACAAAGCTTCTTCTCTCTCACTTTGTACTGAATTTTGGGCTTAAATTGATTCAGAATGGAGAGGATCAGGCAGCGCAGGGCTCTGTGCCCTGGTGTGGGAGGAGCCCTGGCCAAAGTGCCCAGGCCATGGTGCTCCTCCCGGTGCACTGAGCCAGTGCTGGACCCTAAAATGCAGTTTCTGTTACATTTTTTAAGGCCGTCCTGGTGTGTTATGGAGCACTCTTTCTAATCTCTGAAATCCTTGAGTTTGGTGTAAAACTGCTATTTATTTGTGCTTTTTTTCCAGGGTATTAAAATCATGGAGACGCTTCTTCAGGAGCAGTGGGGGTGATGGTGCTGGTGGTGACCAGCTGTAAGTTAAACGTCTGTCTACAGACAGGCAAAAATTGTGGTACCTACTGCACATTGTGCTCTTGTAGTTCTACAAACGAACAGGTCTTTGGGTCCATTGTAAATAACATGCAATTTCTGAGGAATTTTCAAGAAAAACAACGATCTACTGCAATGTTAGGCTTCATGCTGTTCCAGAGTTTCTGAACAGTTTGTTAAGATGATTTGTGTGCCCTGTGTCTCACCCTTTCCTCTCTGTTGATCTATCATGAGTGCCATAGCCTTAGTAGAATAGACATTGGTTCTGTCTAAGCATTTTTACTCAAAAGTAGTATCTTCAGGGGTTATCTGTGGAGGGAAGATTGGGTCAGCTCTTAAATTAGCTTCAGAAGAAGAGCAAATGGCTATCGATTACCTCTAATATATGTCCTTCTAAAACCTGTTTTCTCTGCTTTTGCAGGAGAAAATGTATTTGCGTAGAATTTCCTTGGAGCCACAGATCTTTGTTGCCATCGGGATTCCATGGCTGCTGCCCAAACGTTACTGGTGCCATTTTACTGAGGAAATAGCATTTAATACACAGAGCTGGGAGAAGAGGGGACCACAGACTGCAAATCTGCTACAGAAGATGAAGGAATCGTACTGCTGATGGGGGTGTTGATGGTGGAACTCATGGAGGAAGGAGTCTAAGCTTGGAAACAGTGTTTTCTGTCACTTGGTGCTACAATCTCTAGAGACTGAGAGTTCTCACAACACAGAATAAGGAAACAGGAATGCCCCTCGTGGCTGTGAAGCCCCCCCTCGCCCGGTCAGCACCTGGCTGAGTGTCTTCCCCAGGGTCGTGCTGTCACCCCCCATGTGTCCGTGTCCCGGCTTCGTGCTGGGGGTGAGGCTTCACTCCGCAGGGCCAGCGCTGCCGCGGCCGAGCTGGTCACTGTCCCCTCCTCAGTCACTCGTGCTGCGGGGCTGCTGGCTGTCTGGAAGGGTTTGGTGACTGCCCCCTGCCAGCACAGCTCCTCTCAGCTGTGAGGACGTCCCGCAGTACAAGTTTTGCATATAGATGAATTCTTCCAGAAAGTGTTTCTCTTTATTGCAGCTGAATAGAAGAAGAGACCTGGAGGGGGATTTGTCAAGTTTATCTCTGTTTTTATCTCGACAAAGGTTGCCTCATACTCAGTTCCTCCTTTAGTTCCACACACCGCATCAGGATTGTTTTATTTTAAACTTTGCATTTCAAATTCAGATAAACACAAGCCCTCTTTGATACCCTTTACTGAGTCAGGGTAATGCCACACTTTAAAAATGGCCCCATTAAAGTCGGCGTAGTAGTTCTCAGTATTCTGCCTCGTGATTGTTTGTGCAGGCAAAATCTTCTTGCTCAATCCAACTGAAGCTATGTTTTGTGATTTTATTTTTTCCCCAGCGAATACAGCACTCACCTCCGCTGCCGGCTGGGAACCGGCTTTGGCCCAGAGCCTGAGCCAGCCCAGGCTGGTGAGAGCCAGGCACAAAGAGGCCAATTAAACTGGGAACACTCTGGATCCATCTGATGCCATTATGCTCTGGTTTGCATTAGCTGAGGAAACAAAGTGCTCAGATAAGCGGGCCGGGGGGTTGGCACCCATCCTTTGTACTCTTTAGAAATCAAGTTTTTAAAGTGCTGAATGCGTGGTGGACAGTATTTTCCTTCTAAAAGAAAAGTCCCATTATATTTTCAAAGGAAACAAAGAATACCTGTGATTGGATCCTTTCAAAGAGAAAATAATTTCATTTGCTCCCACGATCAATTAGGAAAGGCTTGTGAAAAGGGAGGGTGCCGTCGGAGGCAGGACGATTCAGAGCAGAGCGTTGAAAGAACTGTCACATTTGCTGTTGCCTTGTAAACAGAAAGTGTGGTAAGTGCTTCTGGCGTGTGACGGGACGTCACTGTCAGCTTAGGGCACTGGCGTGTCTCTGGGGGAAGAGACACTGCATTTCCACTGATTTTTTCATTTTTTTATTATTTTTTTTTTAACTGCCAGACTCCAGGCGTGTGAAATACGAATGGTTCCAAATGTCAGGGACCAGCTCTGCTTTGTGCAGGAATCCAGTGTTTTGTTCTTCATAACTGAAGGTTTCTGGAGGCGAAGGCTGCCGTGGGGCTCCAGGAGCACGGGTTGGACCTTGGTGCGGGAGGGCAGCGTGGGGCTGCCGGGACCTGGGGTGCCAGGAGCCCGTGGGGCATCCCGTCCTCCTCCTCCTTGTCCTCCTCTTCCTCCTCCTCTCTGGGGTGGCAGTTCCTCCATGGGGAAGCAGATGCTCGAGAGGATCCATGAGGCTGCAGAGGTTCTGGGCTGTGCCCGCTGCCGGGGCTGGGGGACACGTGGCTGTGGCAGCCCCTCGCCCCCCCGACACAGCGGAGCTGCCCCCCTGCTCTCAGGCCCCCGTCCCAGCCTCTGCTGGCTCGTGGTCACAGTTTGTGCCCCAGTGCCCCTCACTCAGGTTTGGGCGGCACTCAGGACATGATGTGTGGGTGCTGCAGGGACTCGGTCTCCCACCACAAACTCCTAGTTCAGTGGCTCGTTCTCCAGTTTCTCTAGAATTCCCTCACGCCTCATTTTTCACTTCCTTTTGCTTCACATCACACTTGTGTTGAACGGCAGCGAGTCTCCAGCCGGAGTAGCAGCCTGGGCTCCCTTTGGCAGCCTCGGCCTCTTGCAAACGATGCCGAGAGGCCGTTAAAGTGCCAGGGATTTATATGCTTTTCCCATTGATACCACTCGGAAAGACCTTGCAGCCCAATTGCTCTGCTGTGATTGATTCGTTCTCATTATCAGCCCTGAATTATTTGCAGAGGTAAATCACAAGGCTTTATTTTCTCATAGTGCTTTATCTTTTTACAAAATGCATCCAGTGAAGTTGCTAATGGAAAAGCTTTTAACCTCCCGAGGCGGAGGGTGATCCTTGTCCGTTGGGGTGACACGTGGAGCTGACTAATGCCAGGGGCTGCTGAAAGCCCCGCTGGGGCAGTGCTCCCTTGGGCTGCGGAGGTTGAACAGACAGCCCAAGGTGACCAGCACAGCCCGGGGATAAACTGTTTGCTTCAAAAATTAGAGAGAACAGAGAGGACACCGGGAGCATCCCCCGTGGACACACAGCGTTAGGCTCCTCCACGGGGAGAAGTACCGTTATCCTTACATTGCTCCACACCAGGCAGCCAGCTCCCTGCTTCCCTTGGCTGTTGGGAGCCCCAGCCCTGGCACAGGGGAGCACTTTAACAACCCAAGTGCTGGTTTCTTTGGGCCAAATGGAACCTCACATGGGGCTTTGTGGTCCTGGGGGGCAGAGCACAGGGTGCCTGTGCTGGGCTAATAAAGCTGCTCACCCTCTTACACTTTGCTGGGGTTTATTTTTATTTTGCCTACAGCACTTTCTTCATGCTTAACGTGACAAAAAGCCGGCTGGCTGAGCATTTGGGGGAAAAGATGCAGCTCTGAGAAAGAAGATAAAGAGCTTCTGCAAATATTTATGGCCAGAAAATCGATCAAATGGTAATGAATCTGATTTACAAAAGAATTAGATGTATTTATTTGTGTGGTTGCAGCTGGTGAGGCTGGTTCGAGACGGGCAGCAGCTGGGTGAGGTGTTACACACTTGTCCATGGCCCATGGTGGGGAGGGGGGAGGTTTGTACCCAGGGGGGGTGGTGGGGCTCAGGGTCATGCTGATGGCTGGGGCCGTGGCACCTGGGAGCATCACCTTGTCCCCGCCCCCAATTTGATTTAATCCTCTAAATTGGCCCACGAGGCTGATACTGGTTAATGGGGGGCAGCTGCCTCTGCCCCTCCCTGAGCTGACTCCTACCCCGGCTGCTGGGGGTCTTCTCCTGCCTGTCCTGGGGGTCCTGTGGCTGTCACAGGTAGGACTCTGCTCTCTGGGGTATCCGAGTGAAGGGGGTGTCCCTGTTCTGTGTCGGGATGGGCTCCTGGGTGGCTTTTGCTGTGCCTGAGGGACCCTGGGGATGGAGGTTGTACCTGGGGAGGGATTGGAGCCTCCCCCATCCCACCGCAGGGGAGGGGGACGGGAGGGCTCGGTGTGTGACCGCTCTGGGATGGGTGACAGGGCCCTGGGATCGTCCCCGAGGGTCCCTGTGTCCCACCAGCCTGCGAGGACATCGGCAGCTCTCTGGGCTGGCTGGGAGTTGGACTCGGGCTATAAAAGCCCTTTACTGGGGGGAGCAATTTATGGCCATTAGGAATCATGTCGTGACTGATCTCAGCAAAAATATCTGTGTGTGTGTCCGGCACGTGCTCGCTGAGAGCTGTGATAAAGTGTTACTTGGGAGATGAGGGAAAGCCTGAAAGCCTCATTCCTATTTAAAATGTTAGGAGTTGATGTAAGGCAACTTTCTGTATGAGGTCTATGAGCAAGCTTTACTCTCCTTCCCTTTATTTAGTTTTTGTTGTCTTAATGCTTTTGAAAAGAGATTTTAAATATTTAAAACTGGTCAGATAAAAGCTGTTGCATAAAGGCTGTGAAGGCTCTGAGTCAGTGCACTATAAATAAAACAAAATACTAGGAAAAAAAGTCTCATTAACAAGTAAACATAATATATTTTAATCTGAAAAACTTATTAATTCCTCTTTACCTGTCAAGAGCGAGGCTACAAGTGCTTTTCTCTGCAGGCAACGCAGAGACCCACAAGTTGCCCTTCACTATGAGGAAATGTAAAGCAAACTGGGGTTGTAATTAATAATAACCCAGCAAGACTCAAGCTCTTCTGTCAGGCAGAAAAGGGTGTATAAATGCAGGTAAATTCTTCCCACTGCAGCAGCTGGGTTCAGACCACTGGGAGGGAATGCTGCCACTGTACTCAAAGCACAGCAGCAGATTACTAATAATTGCTATTTTAAGAAAACTTGGAGATTTTAATTACATTTTTCTTTAGTCTTTGGCCTAATGTAGTGTTTTTTGTCTTTGTTCTGTTACAAAACCACCCTGCTGGCAGTTTCTCGTATTTTAAAAAATAAAGGAAGCAGGGTCATAAATATGGACATTGAGAGCTTTACGAGATGGGATCCAGGGGTGTTTTGGGGATTATTTGGGGCTGTAACCCCCAGCCGTGGCCGTGCCCGCGCTGTGCAGGGTCCCCAGGGCAGCGCTCGGCTGCCAGCCCCCTCCCCTGCTGCCCAGGGACCCACCCCCTGTCCCTGCCCTGGGTCTGCCCGGGGTGACCCGTGTGCCCCCCGGCCCCGCAGGACCATGTGGGGACATTTCCCCATCCTGGTGATCAGCGAGTGCCGTCCCTTGTTAACGGGAACTTTTAATACAGCCCTGAGCCCATTTTTCACCTGAAGCATAAATTCTTCCCCTCCTGTGTTCAGCTTTCTCCTAGAAGCTGCAAACACCTGGGAAGCTCCATACTGTGCCATCGCCTACTTTACAGGTTTTTTTTTTTTTTTTTTTTAAAGTTCTGGGAAAACTGCCAAAAAGTGAAGTCTTAATTTTTGTGGGGCTGGCCGTCAGCTGCTGTCTGTCCTCCCAAGCGAGGAGCCGGGTGGTGATTCCACAGCCCAGGCTTTGCTTGCCCCGGCCAAGACGCTGGTGGAGGATGTTCTGGTTGAGGAGCTGGGGTTTGAACACCCATCCCTCCTTCCTGACCTGGTCCAGCCTGGGCTGGCCGGGAGCTGGAGATGAGAACATGGGTCAGCTTTTCTGAGAGGAGGTGGGTTTGCAGGAACACCCTTGTAATGTGTCAAGAATCCTGGGTTTGAAATTGGCTCATAGAGTACCCAGGAGTGTACGTGAAGTGACTCTGCTTTCCTGTGTGGACCAGCTCCACGGGTACATTCCTGTGTGGCCTGTCCCTGCAGCTGTGGGACAGCAGCTGGCACAGAGCTCTGGGGAAAAGGCAGCGTGGGTCCCCCCGGCTCCTCTTGAGCAAAATTATTTGGGGAAAAGCTCAAACCTGTTGTACCTGCAACGGCCTTGGTTGTTTATGGTGGTCACAAGCGTGTGAGCCTGACTTGGGATGGACTCCTCAGTGATCTCAGATGGAGACTCTTGAAACATAGGAGATACTCCAGTGACGATGAGGTTTCCTTTGTATATCCCTCTAATGATGTATTTCTGTCTCCCCCTCTCTCTGCCCGGCTGTTGCTGCTTGGAACTTTCTCACACTCACTGGGATGCTGAGCTTTTCTGTGGAAAATCATATCCCAGCTTCTGCTGGAGGAGTCAGGATCTTCCCATCGGTTTTGGTGGGAAGGGGCAGACGTGATGCTTTGGAGTTTCACAGCATGGAAAGGCTGATACAATTATTTTTATTTTTTTTTCCCAATTTCCAATTCTGGCAGAGACCATCACCCTGTGCACCCCCCGAGCATGGCAGCATTGGTTCTGCTGAGCCTCACC